ATGTTTTAGAATAACGCGAATGGATTGGAGGGGGAGGGGGGGGGGTTGGCACTCATACACGCGCAGTCAGTCATTTCCTCTGAGCCATAAACGCAGATGGTAGGATAGACGCTTGACTTAAATGATCCAAACTAAGTGGTTTATTCAGGTGCCTACCCTTAAAAAAAGCCCGTCCCCCAAGTGCAGGCGGCACAGTAAGGCTAAGGCTAAGAACAAATAGCCACTGGAAGCGCGGCTATATAGCCTACAGCCTCTTTCGTGTAAACAGTGTGCTGAAAGTCTAAATTGTTAACACTGAACATATGTTGTTAACACTGCCAAGAAATATCTTTTACACCTGTGATAAAAACAAGGGAATAAAACAGAACACTGTTATTTCCACGAGAAATTGGAAAAAAATAATAAATCACACGGGAGAGCAATTACAATACACAGTGCACTTGGAATCCTTTCACTGTTTAAAACACGGCGGGAAGCTGCATGGGGGGGTTGGGGGTTCTGAAGACAAAAATGACTACGTCTCGTATTTATGGTAGCCTATAGACTCAAACATACAACACAGACGACTGCACACACATGGCAGTGAAATATTTAGGTAGATACAGCTGAGTACATGATGTCTGTACACACGCAGATCATTTCTGTGCACCAAACCTAGAGGAAGTTCATTGAATAATTCTCTCTGCATAAACTGGCTCCTGGGGCTTCCTGGATCATAAATAACTGATAAAGCGCGCAGTTTGAGCACACACGTGTGTACCTGTGTGTGTAGGTGCGCGTGCATGCGTACGCTTCAGAGCCATAACGACGATGCAGTGGCCGGGGATAGCGTGAATGCGCGCGCCCCTGCGTTCGCGCGTGTGTGTCCCTTAGTCCTGGCGAGCTGAAGCTTGAGGAGCCAGTTAGCGGTAGCGCTCCCCCGCCTGTGATGGTGTCCATCTGGGATTATCAGAAAGCCGCCGCAATGCATCCTCTCCGTACTTTGCTTTTTTTAGCTGGCATAATTGCATTCTCGGGTAAGTCACTTATTTTCCAATAACCCATCTCCTTCACGAATTTTAAGTAATGTTTCTGGTTAAAAATCTTAATAATTGAAATAACCCATTTCACGGGAACTGTAATTTCCCTTCTTTGGACAAATATATGAACAATATATACATATGTATGTACTTATACTTACAGTGACTTAAAATGTTTTTATTTAATTATTTTTTCATTTTCATGGAGGGGAAAAAAGGTTTACTGCCGAAATTCAACAATTAAAGCTCGGGTTAAGTTTATTTTCCCAGCGTCATGTGCTTTATTATTCGTTGGTAGTACTATTAAAATGACTCATCAGGATAAGCCAGCCTACTTCGGCAGCATAACTTTACAGGCACAAATTCGTAAAAGTCACTCCGTATGTTTTTACTCGTAAATTTAACGCAGGAAATGTACATTGTTTACAGCGTATAAATTAAAGGACCAGGGCACATCATTTAGTAGTATGTTTTAAAGGGCAATGAAAATGTCAAAGTAAAAGTAAAACTGTCTTATTAAATGTCCTATTGCCGTGTCATAGGGAGCGATATAACCGGTGAAAATGTAAGTCCATTATTTTTATGTTCAAAGGATGTAATCATTTGTTATTGATTGTTAAAATAATCATAGTGCACAATTTGAATTGTGACAAAAGACGTAAAATCCAATAACCTGAATTTTAAAAACTAATTTATTGGTTCTAATGAAGCCAAAGCCATCAAGTCTTGAAACTTTAAATGTACAAGCAGTCTTCTGCAGTTATTGGTTATGTATTAGAAATGCGTCAAGTAGGAGTCCATTGGGCAAAAGATGAACGTACCAGTATTCAGTTGCTTGAGAAAATATTTTTGCTGTTAATGCATTTTGTTATATTGTTTTCCGGTAATAATTCCTGAAACAGCAGTCCGCATAATATTACATTTAGAAACGTAGACCTACATGCGTATCGTTTAAATATGCTTAGCCACAATCTCTGCAATCAGCTGTAATTAACAGCACTCAGTTTAATATGTGATGACAGACATATGACAAGGAGTACCCACGTAAACAAGGTATTTATTCAATTTTACGTAATTTTGTTTCGATGTTTTATAACCTGAACTAAAAGTAATGCCCTTACTGAAATATAGTTTAATTCAAATTTTTATTTCAGGTTGATGCTCATAATTCTTTGGTTTGAGTCCAAATAATCTTAATGTTATTCCAATAATCAAGGTTGAACCTTCCCTGAAACAGTACGTACATTTTATTCACAGAACGTATGCAGATTAATGAACATTTTCCCCAAGTACACCTTACTACCAATATAATCAGTGCCTCTAATAGTGACACTGATAAGGCAGCACAGATACATATCACATTTCTTGTCAACATGAAAAAACAAGACTTTGGGATTATGTAGTTCTACTGGAGAATTTAATGATGAGAATAACAAAGCTACAAATGAAGATTTTTCAGTGCATTCTCAATGCAACCAGGTCCCTCTAGTACAACCTTGAAAATACATTTGCTGTTCTGCCCTCAACTGCCTTGGATAACTATAAATTGCAAATGAGTAGTAGTAAACACAATGTCCTTCTTGTAACTGTTTGTTTGTTTTTTTGTTACCTTTCATTTATTGTTTGTACTGTTGAAGTGTATGAATTAATATTTGTGCTTTAACTGCGTTTACAGAGTGAAAATAATGGAAACACAGGAAAAATTATGGGGGGAGTTGAAGGTGCATTTTTTTCCCCAAGTACCTGTGTTCTCTTTGTTATGACGGCTTGGCTCATATTAATTGAATTCTATACAACCAAAGGACTGGAAGTATAACCATATGTTTAAAGGTAATCAAAACAGTAGCCATTTGCGATGTGACATTTGTTACATCATTTAGTTGGAGACATCGTGCAGAGTTAGTGTGTACGTCTACAGTAGCTCACATACTGACAGTACTGCTGTTGAAGTATAGTCAGTAGATGAACTACATAACCATACTACATGTAACACTGGAATTTCAGGTAGCCTCATAACTGACCCATTTTGTAGGCAAATCTAAAACTAATCTTTGACCTGCCGGATAACTCCTAATTTGAAAATGTTGCTCAGGGGTTTTCTGCCTTGATTGTTGTTGTAGTAATGTGTCATTCCATGTGAGTAATTACATGCATTGTCCATAGAGAACACTGAACAGTACGGCTCACTTTGAGTAATTACATACATTGTCCAAATAGAACATTGAGCAGTGCTTCTTGATGTGTTTTCTAGCTCTGCACCACTGTCCATTATCTGCCTTCAGTCCCAGACATCAGTATCAATTCTGTGGTGTTTCATTCCATCTTGGGCTTCGCTAACAGCTGCCTAGTGTTTCTGACAGCCACATAAACATTAAACTGATTATTTAGAACATCTATAGTGTGATATGTCCTTTTGTTTTTACAGTAAAACACACTACACAGGTATGGTCCCGGCCATCTTTCCTCCGCATTTGACCATCTGATATTATCACCAAACAAAGAAATGCAGCCCACAGACGGCTGCCGTACGTTAAGATGAAACAGCACTCACCTGTGATGACACCTCTGGGTCGATGTTAAAAATCTTATGAATTTTATTAATGGAATTCTGCAGCTTTTAATCTTTTTAATTTACATGTATTGTTTTGAACCAAAACATGAGTCGTATTTAAAAATGATATTTTTAGTCTTGGGAGCATTTTCTTGCCGTACATTAGCTGTTGTCTTAATACCTACTGATGGAAAAATTGCTAAAGAGAACAGTTGCAATGGTTAGTACTTGTGGTGAAGTTAAGGAGTTCAGGGCCTAAAGCCTTTTCAGAATGAGTCTCCCTCTTAACAGGATTTAGACTCCAACACACACACACCTGGTGAGATATTTTTGTGTACTGAAACCAACCTCCTCTAAAGTTCAAATTTAAAATTCATCCTTGTAACACTGATTTTTTTTAATCAGAACCTTTGAAGCGCTAGCAGAGCGAAGCTGGGGTGTTCATAGCTGATCACACGGCTTCCTAATGATGGAATGAGAACCTCCTATCAACCATTTTCTTCTCTCTCTGGTTTCTCCTCCATCTCGAGCAATCAGCGAATTCTCAAAAACACTATCCACCCACCCACATAAGATTCATCATTGGCCGTAGTTATCATTCCCGCAATATGCATTTCTACAGCTGCAGTTACAGCTGTCATAGAGAGACATCTGTCACTCTGAATTTTGGGCAGCATCTCACCCTGCTACTTATCTTACCTGGAGTCTTCGGTACATAGCCACCAAAATGTCATATTCCTCATGGGGGAATCTGTCCTTGTCATACAGTCTGACCTCCTGTCCCCTGTTTGGGTAGAACAGCTGCATCTCCCTTTGTTTTCTGCATCAGAAATTCATAAACTGCTCTCCAATGAAGCCCTGTCATTTGTCACTTTATGACAGCATGTGTATAAAATTATTATTATCTTTTAGGGTATTTAATTTAGATCCATGCAGATGAATATTAAAATTTAACAACCCACTAAACTGACATCTACCAATTCAAACATTACCTTGAATAAGCCACAATGCACATATACCCTCTTAATATTACGACAACACAAGCAAGTGCTTCATATTCAATATAAATAGTTTATTATTATTATCTGTGCGTCATAACTTTAGACTAATCATAGGTTTCCCAGTTTACTGTCAGCACATTAGTTGTCTTTTCAAGACTTGGTGCTCCAGCATATCACAGCCTGGCTATAATTGTTCTTCACTGTCAAGACTCAAGCTCTCAAGCTCTAGGTTTTTTCACTGTGGTCCAGAATCATATGGTTTACAATAGACCAATCCACTGATATTTGAATCAAGCCAAAAATCTGGTGCTCTCTTTATCCTGGACATTTGTTTCTAGACATGTTTTAAGCTCCTTCTGTGAGTTGGAAAATTAAGTTGAGAGGGATTTATATTGTATAAATCTTTACAGAATATTCTCTGTCACGGTGTGAGAGACGTGGGACTCAATGGCTGGCATTTGGTGAATAAAAGTGGTTTATTAAACTGAACGGGGGCAGGGAAACAAACAAGATCGTAAGGGTCAAAACAAGAAGACTACTATGGGGAAGGACACAAACAGACTGGAGGAGAGACGTCAATGACCAGACTGGGGATGAAGAGACAGACAGGTACTTAAATACAAAGACTAACGAAGGGTAAGAAACAGGTGTGACTCATCAGGGCCACGTCAGGGAGGAGACAGGGGGGTCAGGACATGACGGGCAGGACGTGACAGTATGCCTCCCCCCCACAGGGGAGGTGACCAAGGGGACCGAACGCAAAGGCAGATACACAGTGCCGTTTCAAATGGGACACCGGAACGGACCGGCATGGCAGGACTGACACGGTACATGGGACAGACACCACACAAGATCACAGGGGCTGAGCCCCCAGACTGGACAGGACAGGACAGGATAGGACACACGGCACAGCAATAACATGGAACAGGCCAGAGCGGAAGCAGGGAACATAAGGACAACAGGCAAGACCAGTACCTAACTGGGCCATAAAGACGAAACAGACCAAACATAGGACAGAACCAGGCACCAGGGACAATGGACCAGGGACCAGAGGGACAAACACCAGACATCAATGGGGACCAGAGAGCAAGACAGACAGGACATGGATGGCTGGAGAAGAAGGGCTTGAAGGCCAGCGTTTATCAAACTGAATAGGAGTGGTGAAACAAACAAGACCGCAAGGGGTCAAAACGTGAATGTGAGTACAGGGAAGGACACAGGGAGACATGAGGAGCGACATTAATGACCAGATTGGGGATGAAGACACAAACAGGCACTTAAATACAAAGACTAATGAGGGGTAACAAGCAACAGGTGTGGCTCATCAGGGGGAGACAGGGTTAGGGTTAGGCGGACATGACGGGCAAGACGTAAGAGTTATCAATAGTGTACTGTGAATAATAACTTAATAACTGGCACTCTAGTGGTTAAGGATAGTCTTATTG